AGTTGTGGACATCAGTTTAAGTGACAGCCCAGATGGGGGACATGATAAACATTATAAGAACTCCAGGAAAGGCATCAGCAGATAGCATAATGGCTACATTGCTGGACTCTCATGTAGTCTATCACAGTTCGAGTCCTGGACCCAGTGGCTTAAACTCACACCAGGCGCGTTTGCTTGCATACCAAGATCCCAAGAGGAGAATGGAGGAGAAGGGACTGTGGTGTGGCCATACCCCTGCAGGGGGCAATTTCTTGCTTTCAGTTTCTCTATCTCTCTCTGTCATTCTGGTGAGTTGCACGCGCCCTATAGCAAAAAACTCTCCACACCCCACCCCCGCAAAAAAAAGAACTCCAGGAAAGCAAGACTGGGCAATAAGATAAATGTTTTAAGAGTACAAGGAAGGTTGGGGCCAGCAGATGGCATAAGGGTTACATCACTGGACTCCTACATGGCTGACTACGGTTTGAGTCCCAGACCTGGTGGCTTGAAAATCATGCCAGGCACATATGCGTGTGTGCCCAAGATCCTGGAAAGAGAATGAATGAGAAGGGATTGCAACGTGGCCATCCTCCCCCTTCACAGTCTCTCTCTCGCGTGCGCACAAGTGCACACTCCTTAAGTCAAAAACCTATAAAAAAAAGGATGAGGAAGGCAAATCTTCATTACTAAAAAGGACAACTGTTGCTTGATCTCCATGGGTTAAAGTAGTCCCCAGTTTGGGGGTCTTTCCCAAGCGGCCATACCACACAAGTTGCTCAAAGGGGCAGGGATTACTTGTAACAATTGGAGTTGGAAATTACGTGCTACTGACTGTACAGGCTGGTAGCAAATGGGCCCAGGGCTCAGCGGGACCCACAGGGACTACCTTAGCAGGCCAGGAAATTTCTCACTCTGACAAGTAATCTCTTATTCAACCTGAGGTAGGTTCCCACTCCCATCCCCATTCAAACTTCTTCTATGTGCTATCATTGGAGGATCCCGGAACAGCAGCTGACAGTACCCCTTTATTAACCCAGGCAGGAAAAACCAACATGGGCATGAAGGCTTTTGTTTGGTTTTTATTTCAGCTCTCAATGCTGATGTGGAACCACCTTGGTTTGAATCAGTCAAACTGAGATTTCAACCGCTGCTGCTAATAACCATTGTCACTTCCCAGCTCCATAGAGGGTAGGTGACTGCAGAGGAGCACACAGCTGTGCCTTTAAGAGGCCATTCTTTTGTTTTAGTCAGTTTAGCAGCCTATGGGTTTATATGACCACAAGTCCCACCAAACAAAACAAAATAAAAATCTTCCTAAAAATTATACTTGCTTTACTATTAATTTCACTTTCTCAAAAGCTTCCTGACAAATTTGATTCCAATACTATCTGTTTCCCTTTTTTTTTTTTTTTTTTTTTTTTACAGAGAGAAATTTTTGCTATAGGGCATGTGCGCTCACTGGAGAGACAGAGGCAGAGAGACAGAAAGTGAGAAATCATCCCCGGGGGTGGGGGTGGCCATGCCACAGTCCCTTCTCCTCCATTCTCCTCTTGGGATTTGGGGCACACATGCACACATGCCTGGCGTGAGTTTCAGGCCGCTGGGTCTGAGACTCACACCGTGGTCAGCTGTGTGGGAGTCCAGTGACGTAACCATTATGCCAACCGCTAGTCCCTCTGCCTCCCTTTTTTACCAAGGCACAAAGGGGGGCTTACTCGACCAGATAATGCCCAGAAACTTTGCTGATCACCCAGATCCCTGATGTTTTTTGGTATTTATCACTCATTTCCATGTTTTCAATTATGTTTAAAAGAGAAGAGATAAACCACCATTTATTAACACTATATACTGTTCTACATTCACAATTCTCCAGGGACACTGCAAACAAACAGGATTCCAATTAGCATGGCCTACTGGTCCTAGTTTTACTACTCCAGTTCTTGTTAGAACTCCCCTGCAGTAACCAAACTAAAATCTTAGGGCATATCCACTCCCACTGGGGTCCCATGTCAGAGCATGACCCCTTCCTGGCCATCACTAGTCTGTCCTGTGGCCTCAGTCCTAGTTTGGATGAGTCCACAGTTCATCTTCTACATACTAGCCTCATCATGGAATAAACCACTGTCCCATAAATTCCAGCACTCAGGACTCCAACCCTCCCAAGAGACAACAGTACAGATCACACCAAGCAGTGAGGACTACCTCGAGACTCTTTCATAAGAAGAGAGGCACTTGGCCAGGGTCTTAGTTTTTCTTCTAGAGCAGATAATAGAATAAACTGCTTGTCCTTAGGCAATGCCTTCCAGAGAATTAGAAGAGCATAATTAGGCTGATTATATTATCCTTGGACTGGGGTGGGGAGAATCCAGGCTAAAATCATGTCTTGCTAAAATTGCTGCAGAGAAGTCTCAGATCCCTTGGGAACCAGCAGTTAGCGTAATGGCTATGTTGCTGGATTCCGACGTAGTCGACCGCGGTTTGCGTCCTGGACCCGGTGGCTTAGAACTCACACCAGGCACGTGTGCATGCATGCCCAAGATCCCGAGAGGAGAATGGAGGAGAAGGGATTGCGGCGTGACCATCCCCCCTGGGGGATGATTTCTCGCTTTCTGTCTCTATGTCTCTCTCTGTCTGTCTGGCGAGCGCATGTGTCCTATAGCAAAAACCTCTCAAAAAAAAAAAAAAAGTCTCAGATCCCTTTTTGTTACCTTTATGTTTCTCCCTCTTATCTTTCCTTTGTGGTTGATCCCTTCAGTTTCACCAAGATCAAGTTCTTGCCTAGCTTATAATTCCCTTTTTGTACTTATTTGTACAGGCCCGTAACAGTGGCCAGGCTACTGCAATTACAGCCTGTCTGCCTTTGTTTCTCCACTGTCCTTGCCCTACTGCTTCAGTGCAAACTTCTAACAATCCTTTTAGCATTTGCAGGGGCATCCCTGGACTCACAGGCTATAAAAAACCTTAGTCAGGTTCCTCCAAATGGAGGCAGCTGTCCAGCCTGGCCTTTTCCCACAGATAACAGACTTTTCCTACATCCAGTTTTCCAATAACTGGGAGGCTAGCCAATTTCTCCTCCAACTTCTGTTGCTTTGCTTCAGCTGAGGACTGGGCATCTCTTACTGACTTCTCACACATAGCAGAAGCCATTCTACTCTGGTGGTGGTTCTGTGGAAGGTCATAGGGCTTGCTAACAATAGGTACTCTAACCACTCCAGCTCTTTTCAGGGACCCCTGTACTCACAAGGAAGTCCATAGGCACCTGCACAGCGGGCTGGAGCTTTTTAAGGATGTGGAATGTTAGGGGAAAATGTGGGGAAAATGAGCCACCTGGGAGAGAGGTGACTACTCTGGGCGGGAGTAGTCATGTCTGGGATGAAGACATGTCTGCTCCCGGGTCAAAGATTGTTCATCTTTCCACTGCTAAAGGCCAGTGGCTAAAGCTGTTACTCAGAGGTTCTGAATGACTGCATAGGTAAGAATTTTTTTAAGAGGTTTTTTGTTTTTTGTTTTTTGGTTTTGGTTTTTGCTATAGGGCATGTGAGGGTGTGTTCTCCAGAGAGACAAAAAGAGATAGAAAGCGAGAAATCACCCCCTGGGGGGATGGCCACTCCACGATCCCTTCTCCTCCATTCTCCTCTCAGGATTATGGGCACGCACACACACGCGCCCAGCCTGAGTTTTAGGTTGCCGGGTCCGGGATTCAAACCACGGCTATGTGGGAATCCAGTGACATAATCATTACGCCATCTGTTGGTCCCTGACCAGAGAAGAATCTAACTGAAGCAGAACTCCCGCTGAGGGCTAGTTCTGAACAACTCTAGGGTGCAGGAGACGAGTGGAGGGGCACGAAGATGGTGTCAGTTTGGTTCACTCACACGGTCTTGCTCCTTAGTGCATTTCGACCCCTGCACCCTTTACCCCCTTGTCATCTTTGCAGAAGTGTGTGCTTCAAGGAGGAAGCAAGGCTTCCTGGGTGGTGGAGGACTCGTCCCAGTCCAGGGAAGTGAGCCCACCAGACAGAAGAAGTAGAAAACAGGGTCTAGGGACTTTGTTCAGATGACCCTGACAACTGCCCTAACCAATCTACTCCTCCCAGAAAAAGTCTAGTTTTATTATCTGGAGGGGCATTTAGGGTTAGGAAGATCTCCCCACTCTCCTTTGACCCTCAGGTTTAAGGCTGGAACCCTGAAGCTGGAGCCTGTGCTGGCTCTGGCGGCACCAATGCAAATACATCAAGCAGGACTCTTCTCTGAATGGCCCTTGGCAGGGAAGAAGGCATGGGCCTTGCTGGTCTAGAGTTTTTCTTTCAAACTCTGTCCCCCAGCTCCCTGCTGCGTATAGGTCGCAGCTGCTTTTAGCTTAGTGTTTAGTTTTTCTGTTTTTAAATTGACACATCATAATTGCACATAATTGTACAATGTGATATTTCGATACATACATAGAAAGTGTAATGCTCAAATTAGAGTAATGAATCTACTCATTACCTGAAATATTGCTCGTTACTTCATGTGAGAACATTCAAGATCCTTTCCTGCAGCTACTTAGGAACACACGCTAACTACCAACTATAGTCACCCATCTGTGCGATGGGACCCAACAATGAAGCCTCACTCCCCAGCTTACCCGGGACAGAGCTCGGGGCATAACATCCCTCCTCCCCTCACCCGAACCAGCCTCCCTAGGAACTTCGAATTCGGAAACCCTCCGCGGGCGGGTCCAGTGCTCCCTCCCAGCTGGGTCAGTCTCTGCGGTGACGAGCCTTAGGGGAAGGTCCCAGCAGCCCGCGGGAGATCCGGGCACGCCTGGCTGTGTGGAAACTGGGTCCTCGTCAGGCGGCCGCGATCGCAGGAGCAGCGTGACACAGCAGCCAGGGGTGGGGGAGCGCGACACGCCATGCGCTTGGCGCCTGGCTTTCCTGGGCGGTCGCCCGCTGTGCTCTGCTCCGCCGGCTGGAGCGGGGGCGGGGGCCAGGAAGGAGCGCGGCCTTTTCCGAGCTGAGGAGGAGTGGCCCCAGCTGGGGAGGTCACTTGCAGGAGGACCGGCTGCTGTCACTTGCGCTCGGCGCCGCGGCTCGGCTGGGTTCGCCGCTCTCGTGAGCGCACGGGGACGCCCGGCGCACACTCGCGCTCTCCCACTGCGCCGGACCCTCTCCGGCCGCTGCCCTCACCAC